CCATCTCTTGTACTCCTTAGCCGAAGAAAAGGACATCGGCTAAAGAGTGGTTGGCTGGACTAAACCAACTCTTGTACTCCTTAGCCGAAGAAAAGGACATCGGCTAAAGAGTGGTTGGCTGGCTTAAACCAACTCTTAGTACTCTTCAACCGAAGTAAGGACATCGGCTAAAGAGTGGTTGGCTGGACTAAACCAACTCTTGTACTCCTTAGCCGAAGAAAAGGACATCGGCTAAAGAGTGGTTGGCTGGATTAAACCAACTCTTAGTACTCTTCAGCCAATGTAAGGACATCGGCTAAAGAGTGGTTGGCTGGACTAAACCAACTCTTGTACTCTTTAGCCGAAGAAAAGGACATCGGCTAAAGAGTGGTTGGCTGGATTAAACCAACTCTTAGTACTCTTTAGCCGAAGTAAGGATATCGGCTAAAGAGTGGTTGGCTGGATAAAACCAACTTAGAGGATGACCGAATTAAACTCTCATTACGCTTCAGCCAAAGTAAGGGTTTAGGCTGAAGAGTAATTGACTAAATTAAACCTCTTGGTACTCTTCAGCCGAAGTAAGTATATCGGCAAAAGAGTGCTTGGCTAGTAAGCTCAGTCAGATTGCTCAGCTAAGACCGGAATAAAGTATCTCGGCCGAAAAATATTGTGTTTCGTTCAAGTTGCAGTTAGAAAGCAAGCACAAACAGGAAAGCAAACCGAGATAACAGTTGGAACAAAAGAATTCATTGAAAAACTCATTACAAGTGCAAGCATACAGATCAAAATCGGAATAAGTGTTGAATACAAAAGATGATTTTCATTTATTAAATTCAAAACAAGTACAAAAGAGGGGCCATAGGCCGGTTACAAAAGCAAAAAGAAAAAAGAAGATACAAAATCAGTTAAAGAGATCATCCAGATCAGCATCCAGCTCAACTCTGAGTCCGGTCTCATCAGCAGGAAGTTCGGTCGTAGCCAGAACTTGGTTGGGCTCGGTTGAAACAAGCTCCTCTGCGTTCGGCTCAGCTAGAGACATGACTATAGCATCAAGTGCTGGGGGATTGGAGATCACTGGAATTGGAGGAGTAGGCTGCCGACTGGGCTGGGAGTCGTCTTCAGAAGAAGAACCTTCATCTCCACCTTCTTCAAGAAATTGCTTCTGAAAGTCGACAGCGTACTCCGCCAGTGAGGCCGGAATGAAATACTGAGGAGCATTGTAGATTTTGGTTTCGGGTCCGTAACCGAGCTGCTCCACAGCACCTCTCCAGCCGCACTTGAAGAACAAATCCTTTGCTGCTTCATAGTGTTTGATATAAAGGGCTTCGCCCTCCTTGAAACCCCGGAGCTCGGCGTCTTCTGCCTTCTTCTTCAGCTCCGTTATCTCGGTGTCCTTCTTATCTTCGAGCTTGACTAGCTCACGAAGGTACTTATCCTTCGTCACAGCTAGGGCCTTCTGTTTGTCTGCATCGGCCGAGGTAACTAGTTCGGTCAGACGAGCTACCTCGGCCTCTAGCTCGGTCGTTTTCTGGTAGGACTCCTTCAGTTCGGTTGTTTTTGCTTCAACCTCTTCCATGGCTTGCCTCGCTGTGCTCCTAAGCTCCAACACCTTTTTATGAGCAATTTGGCCCTTTTGCACGGCCTGACAAAAAAAAAAAAAAACTAATGACAAAACCGAACAGAAAGTTGGTGATATTTAGAGAGACAAGAAGAACAACTTACCAGGATCATTGATTTCGTGGCCGAGCGGATGGCCTTTAGCTCGGTCAAGTTCTTATGGTGTTCCATGTCGGTTGGGAGGCACACACTCTTGGCAAGGTTGAAAGCCATCAGATGGTCTTTTTCAGCGAGAACTGAATCAGTGTCCTGAATATCACGGTTTTGGAAAGTCAGTTTGGGTGCCCATTTGGAAGAGCTGGCTCGGTCGGCGTGCTTCGGTTGCGAGCTCGGTGGAGGGCTTGGTGGCAACGTGGTTTTGTCTTCATCAACTAAGCGTTGTTTGGTCTGGGTAGTACGGGCGCGCTTAGTTCGGCGTGATGAGGAGGGTTGTTGTGATGGTAGGGCCACCACGGTTTCTTGTGTTTGGTTTGGTGGTGGTACCTCAGCCCTGTTTGTCTCGGTCAAGAGAGCCCTGACTCTGTTTCTCTTGGCCATCTCTTCTTCAGCAGTCAGTGGGATTAGGTTAATTTGTGGCAAGGTTGGGTCCGGTTCGGGGGCGTCCTCCAACAAAAAGTCAGTTACTCTGGTTTTTCGGCGGCCGCTGTATCTGTATGTCGGTTCGGAAGTTAGAAGTTTGGCCCAACTTCTTTCTGGAAAACGTAGTGCGGCGCGGATAGTGTTCAGGTTGGGATAACTGTACAAGGATTGAAGATGGGCTGAATCTGCATAAAGAAAATAAACTGGTAATTCGGTTCAGGAGCAGGTAACCGAAATAAAGCAAAGCATGCCAACAAATCGAAGTAATTATACCAGGTTCTCCTTTATTACAGTTTATACTTCGGCCAGGGATCTGGGCTTGCTGGTCTTCAAAATTGCCAAACACCCAGAAAAAGTCATCATCATTCAAGTCTTTGTCCGGTGTCTTTTATTATTTTTTCTTGGCGGCGGCGGCGTATTCTAAGATAGTAAACCCAGCCGTCTTCTTTCGACCCTATGGAGTATTGGTGGAAGATTTCGGCTAAACCGAGGTTAATGCCAGCTCGGCGGTTTAGCTCGGCTATGCCCATTATTATGCGGTATGAGTTGGTGAAAGTTGGGTTGGGCATATTCTCGTTTGCCTAAGGAATTCACAAATTAAAGGTTGGACTGGAAATCTTAGTCCGGTTTCTATTATTGATAAAAGGGTAAAGGGTACAAAGCCCTGGTTTCCCCAAGGTATAACATCTTTTTTGGCTAAGGTTCGGTGGACATCGTCAGGGATGTTATAATCCCTTCGAAATTCGGCCATGCCACTTGGTGTTTCTACTAAAAACCTATATTTACCCATTTACTCCTAAGTTATGTATAAATTATGCTTGGTGCTAGCTCGGTCGGAAAATGTTGCTGTGTAGCTCGGTTGAGCGATCAAAAGGAGTGCCTAGGCAACCTAAGTCTGCAAAGTGAAAAAACAGAAGTGTTAAGCACAAATCTTTAGACCGTGTTACAAAGTAAAAACAAATTAAGTCCTACTTCGGCTTTGTGAAATGTTGCAGGTCTTATCTCGGTTTCAGCAAGGTGCTTGGTAGCTCGGTTGTGGCAAGTGATTTGTTAGACCGGTTGAAATTCTAGGGGTAGCTTTTTTAGTTCGGTCTGAACTAAGAGTGCTGGCTTAGCCCCAAGATAGTTCGGTCGGAATTATGGCCTTCAAAACACCCTAAGTGTAGACTTAGTTCGGTTTGTTATCTCGGCTAAGATAAATCAAAAGATGGTTTTTTGACTTGTTAAAACTACTGGTACAAGTGTTGGTTCGGTTAGTTAGGCTGGTTTAACGTCAACTACAAACTACTTATTAGTTCGGTTATATTGTGATTTTGGATCAACTACAGTGTCCTACAAGTTGTTTAATGAAATTCAAGTGGTTCTTATAAGTTTTTTCAGAAGATGCAAGGCAAAGCAAAGCAAAAATGGAAAAGAGTATGTTTTGCAAAAACACACAAAACAAAATGCAGTGGATTGAACAAGTACGAAAACAAGAAAAATAAAACAGATTTATAATGTTTACCTGATGAAGATCGAACAGCCTAGAGGATGGGAGCACACGGCAGCAGCAAAACACGAGCTTCACAGTTGCAAGGTTGAAGGACAGTGGAGGTTAGGAGAGAGAGAGAAGGAAATGAGTAGTGATTCAAAATAGTAAGGGTTTGTTTTGTGTAGATAAAAGGACGAAAATGCGGGAACTGTTCAAAAAACACGAGGTACGAGGGCGGCGTGACAGCTGCCTTCAGCCAATAAGAGCATGCCACGTGTCCATGAAATAAGAAGCGTTTCAGTTGCTATGATTGAAGAGACGTTTTGACCGGACAGGTACAACCCGGTGTGAATTTAGCTCGGCTGGAAAGGCTAAGATGGTTTTTTAGCCCGGCTGGAAAGGCTAAAAGGGTTTTTTACCCGGCTGGAAAGGCTAAATGATTTTAGCTCGGTTGGAATTCTGAAATTTTTTAGCTCGGCTGGTAACAGGAAATCCCTATCATGCTACGCAGATGGAATTAAGGGGCAATTGAGAGGGTAATTTATACTTATAAATTGGGCCGAGCTGGGTAATGGGCCGTTATGGGCCACGTTGCGAAGGACTGAGAAAAAAGGCCATGAAGTTACTCCGGCCCAAGAGAGGTGTAAAGTTACTCCGGTCCAAGAGAGGTATAAAGTTACTCCGGTCCGAAAGAATCTTGAGGTTACTCCGGTCTAAAGGAAGCTTTGAACATAGCCCGGTTGCCGTACATAAAGTTAGCCCGGTCTTGGCTTATCGAGGTTATCTCGGCCAGAATCTTGCTGTTTGATAGCTCGGTTTGATCACATCATGGTTGGCGCTAGGAGAAACCTGGGTAAGAGCAATGAATGGAAGAGCCGAACTAAAGTTAGCTCTGTCTAATCTGCGGCTTAGCATAAGCCATGCTTACCTCGGTCATAGTGGAATCCGACCATGGTAAAACCATCTCGCTTGGTTTAAGCAGTGAGGAGGGTGTTGAAGGATAAGCATTATCTTTCAGGAGTATGAATCCTAGGAGGACTCTACATGGAAGAGTAAGAGTCCTACTTGGATTGTGCCACACGGAACCTATAAAAGCTCACAAATATCACCTATGGAGAGGTAACACACAACTTTGATACACAGAGCTTTTTGTCTACTTGTCTATTTTGCTGACTTAGGCATCGGAGGGGTTTCCGGCACACACCTGCCGGCTAGCTCACATTTGTGTTTTCAGGGAGTAAAGCGACGACGTTTGGAGGAGCGCAGACTTGATCAACAGGATTATACGAAAAGGTTTATTTCTTCCCTGTACAGTAACGGAAGTAAAGAAAAATAAAACAGACACACATGAAAACAATAAAAAAAAGTAGAGATAATTTCAATTGATAGATAAAAACAACAGACTAATAGTAAAAATTACAAATTATGAGACGAATACACTACTTAGCATTTTTTAATCCAAATTACAAATTATGAGACGAATACACTTCTTATGCTGTGTTTGGTTGGGGGATTTGATGAGAGATTTGGAAATGAAAAAGGAAAAGTTAAGTGAAATATGAATAAAATATACTTACATTTCACCTAGTTTCACACACATTTTCCCTTTCTATTTCTAAATTCCTTCCCAAATCTCCCAACTAAACACAACATTAGTATTTTTTAATCCACTAACATTTATCTATCTAATTTCAAAATTCTACATAACTATCTGGCATCGTGAATCCTCAACTGCGAAAATACTTGGAACGCACATGTATCTGTAACTGTATCCGCACCTGTATCCCCAAAATCATCCACGGTCACACCATCTTCATCAATTGTCATGCTATCAGAAGGTAACCGATGAACACTAGGCACCGGCAACACCCACGATACGTCCGTTGTGCTATCCTCATGAGGTTCTCTGTGTGTTGCAGTCTGTTGAAGTTTCAGTGCATATTCCAAGTCCCACAAAACATCAGCCATGCTCGGCCTGTCAACTCCGTACTCTTTCAAACACTTGTCCACAATTTCCCCAAACGTTCTCAGAGAATTGGGACTAATATTCCCTGCGATCAATGGATCAACGATTTTCCAGAGCAGTCCTTTTTTTTGACAAGACAAGCCCCATGCCGCCAAGTTCACTTGCTCCCATGGAAGCTTCTTGTTAATGGCCGGCCTTGCACATAGCACTTCTAGCAGAACCACGCCAAATGAGTACACATCGGATTTTTGAGTTAATTGGAAGAATTTGAAGTACTCGGGATCAAGATACCCATAACTGCCCTTCACTTCTGTGCTGACATGGGTTTGATCGAGAGCTTCTAACCTCGATAAACCAAAATCAGCAACTTTAGCGACATAATCATCATCGAGCAAGATGTTTGTTGACTTGACATCGCGGTGAATTATGCCTCGGTCTCTGTGAAGATAGTGTAGACCCTTGGCAGTCCCAATGCATATCTCAAGTCTTCGATTCCATGATAATTTTGACTCCGAAGATGATTTATCCAAATCCTCATTTGAATTATACAGATGACTCCTCAGAGTACCCTTTTGCATGAACTCATAAACAAGGATCATCTCGGATTCTTCATCACAGTACCCAATTAAGGAAACAAGATGGCGGTGACGAATTTTTGACAAGACCTTGATCTCTGTCTGGAATTCTGGAAGGCCCTGGCCGTGCCCTGGCTGACTTCTTTTGACAGCAACTTTTTCACCGCTCCGAAGAGTTCCTCTATAAACTTTTCCAAACCCGCCCTCACCTATCATCAACTTGGAGTTGAAATTTTTAGTTGCGTACTGAATTTCAGAAAGAGATAACTTCAACCCGAGATTCAGATTGCAAACCGGAGAGGCAATGGTCTGCCAATCCGAATTCTCAACAGGTTTGGCTATTCTGAATTTATATGTCATGACAAACACCGCAATAAATAAAAACACAAAAGCCACACCTCCGAGAACTGAACCAACTATAATAAGAAGAAGATGTGTCTTTGATAGTTTTTTCAAATCAGGACTCAATCCCCCTATTATCACCATGATCTCTAGCCCATTTAAAAAAGCAGTTTGGTTATTTGAATCTTGCCGTGGGCCAATGCTGACATTTATAAATCCAAAATCATCGGAATCAACCACAAAATCTTTGTAAAACGGAGCTGCCAATTGGGGAATAACCTCATACGGATCAATTTTCTGACTGAACGTATCAAACACGTAGAGATTGAACCTGAAAATGTCATTGGACGAGCTTATTATGTCGCAAAAATGAACCCGAACGAGATGTGGAACATTCTTACTCACATTGAAATTCCATGTTATGTTGAAAAAACAACCCACTTCCCAAACGGAGGCTACGTCTTGTTTGGGGTTTAAAATTTTTTAATTTTGGGAAAAATTTAAAATTAGAAAATAATTAATTATTCCCAACTAAATATTTATCATTTTTTTTCTAATTTCTATACCAGTGAAAATAGTTTACTTCATTTAATATATTTTTAACTTATGTCCTTAGAGCATTTGTGAAAAAAAAACTTAAAAAACAAATCTTAAAAAATGAAAAAGACCCAAAAATAAAAAAAAAAAAAAAAAAACAAAACAAAACAAAAAAGGCAAGTAGGGCAAAAGGGGATATCAAAAAAGAGCAAGTGGGGCAAAAGGGGACATGGATGGTGCTGTAGACTCACAAAAAGGCCAAAAAACAGGGAGGTGGGTGGCCAAGGAAAAAAGCTTATTAAACAAAAACGGCTAAACGACAAAATATTATTATATTTAGGCTATTTTAGATGATTAAAAGTTATCTTTTAATTTTTAATTTATTTTAGATTATATTATTTATTATATTTTTTATAGATTTTTTTAAATATTAAAAAATTAAAAAATTAATTTTTAATCATCTTTTCAAAATAATTCTAAATTATCTCTTTGTTTAGTTTTTTAAAACTATTTTTTTGTTTTTCATATATTTTTTAGATTGTGAATTGCAAAATGCACCCAAAAAAAAAATGTATTGATTTATGAGAAAGACTACAGTACATCTCTCTCAAAGGAGGTGTATTATATATCTTCTGGATTTGGAGAATTTTTTTTTTGGTGGGTGGTTTGGGAAATTCATTACAAAAGAGACAGAAATGAAAAAAAAAATAAAAATTAACTTATAATTTATTTATATCTTCTTCCTTTTTGTTTTTAAATTTTTATTTAAATTCATAATTTAAACACAATTTATATGATCATACATAGCATAAAATAATTTTTAAAATTTTAAAATTGTGGTTAAAATATAAATTTAGGCCAAATTTGGGAAGACTAAATAAGTATATTTTTTGACTTTTTTTATATTATGTGTAAAAAAAATAAAAAGAAAATATTAATTAATATAACTTAAAAAAGATAAAAAAATGAAATAAATACACTTTTTAGATTAGCCAACCTGGACCTTATATAGATGATTCAAACGAACATAAATGTGAAATATGGAAACGGTTGGCACAGCTGGCTTCACGTGGACTTGACTTATAAGTCTCGAACTGGTCCTAGTGAGATAATAATAGATGTAGGTAGTGTGATATTTGATAAGGATAGATATGTCAATGGCAAAGTCTAGAGACTAGAAAATAGTTGGGCAAATTACCTAAATCTTCCCTCAGGTTTTACAAAATTATTGATTTTTTTTTGAGATTTTACAAATTATATCATGTCTTATCGCAATTAACACCATTATCAGATATTATAAATTGACAAAAATACCTTTTTGACAAATAAGGACAAATTATCTACACCCCTTGATGTTTAACTAAATTATAGATTCACTCTGAGATTTAGTTAAATTACAGATTCTCTCTTGAGCTGTAGCTAAATTATCATTTTTAAATAAGTTATGAAATGCAAAATTAAAATGGAAAATACTTATCACACTACAAAAAATTAAGATTTTAGAGATCAAAATTTAGAGACAAAATTATTTTTAGGGGGCCAAATATTTTTGTTGCTAAAAGTATCATTATTATATTTTTAGCAATGAAAATTGAACATTAGTGATTAATTATTATCTTTTTTGTATCAAATTATTTTCTCCCTAAAAATCTATTTATTATTGACATTTTCGAAATTTTATCGCTAAAAGTCTTATTTTTGACTTTTCAAGGCGACCTTTTAGCGACTATCCTTACGACGATAGAAATTAGTTCCTAAATGCCTTTTGCAACAAAAATTTCACTTTTAGAGATCAAAAAAATTGGTTTCTAAAACTTTTATATGTTGTAGTGCCAGATGGTGAAAATATCATAAAATTAAGGTTAAATTACACTTACACCCCCTGAGGTTTGGGTTTAATACATATCACCCCTTGACGTTTGGGAAATTACACTAACCCCTTGTCATTGTAATTATTTAGTCGGAATGAAGAGATTAAACTCATGCACTCTTTTTTTTTTTTTTTTTTGCTTTGCTTTACTTTCTCTTATTTTTCCCATTTTCTTAACTTTTTTTTTTAATGTAATTTTCTCTGTTTTTCTACTAAAAGTTGTTACTTTTTATATAAGCAGGGAGATTTGTGAAATGAGACTATTAACCACAAGAGTGAGAATGTAATTTCTAAAACGTCAGGGAGTGCGTAGTAATTGGACCAAATCTCAAGGGGTGTTAATGTAATTTACCCTAAAATTAATAAATAATTAAATAAGTTGAAAACACAAAAAATGGCTTGTCAAAAAATTCTTAGAATATGTTTGGTTTGATTTTAAAAATTTATTTTTAAATTTATTTTTAAAAAAATTAAAAATTAATTTGGCCAAGAAATAAAAAATAAAAAATTATTATTATTTTTTTTTATCTTTTGAGTGGTTAGAAATAATTTTTACAAATTAAATATATTTTTTCATATTCATTTTTATTAAATTAGTTTTTTTTTTAAATTCTATTTTTTTTTTCTAAACAACAAACTAAATATGGTTCCAAAAACTTAATTTTTTTCCCCATCTAATGTAATTCTTTTGTAAATTTTGCTGATTTATCAAAGGGATTTCAGTAGGGATAATATCGTCCATCAATTTATATTTTGGTGATGTCAACTAACCATTCTTAACGTTTAATTAACGGTAGAGGTTAAATTGTTATGCGAATATAAAACTCGGGAGGCGGGATGTAATTTTTGAAATCTCAAGAAAGAATATGTAATTTAGCTAAACCTTAAGAGAGGCGTAGGTTATTTTTGCCCAAAATAGTTTGAGATTTGTATTATGAAAATAAATTTATAGTGTGTGTTTAAAATTTTTGTTGTGAGATCAAATTTTAAGTGAATTTTAATTTTAGCAAGTAAAAAAAATATAAAATTTATTAATTAAGGGTTATGTAACATTACTCTTAATTTTATTCACTCACCAAGCAGTGAACAATACTAAAAGCAACCAACCCATAAATAATAATAATAATAATAATATAATAATAATAAACATATTATGTTCACCAATACTATAAATGGGGAACAAAATCAAACTCCATTCGGGAGGCGTAGGAAGTTCAATTATTTTTTGAACAGTTTATTTTATTTTGTTTTTGTCTTTTTAAAATATTTGTAAAAAAAAATTCACTTTTAAATCCTATTAGACTAGATCAATCGAAAATTGCTCCATCCATGGTGCGCATTGTTTTTTCTCTTCATTCAAATCATTGTTGTGTACTAATAATAATAATGAGAAGAACCAATCATAAATTAAAAAAATATGGTATAATTTATGTAATTGATATATATAAGATTATTCACATTTACAGTTTATATTAATTTTATTATACTCAAAAAAGATAGTAGTATAATGTGTTTGACTTTTAACCTATTTTAAATCAGATCACCTCTTTACTATTTTATATGTTTTTTCAAAAAAGTTAAAAAAATTAAAAAGTCAACTTTTAACTAACTACTCAAATCAACCCTGTGTAGACAACAATGAGTAGAGTTTTGGATTGGATTGTCTAGTTGAGCCTGCTATAAGTCTTAGTTTGATAATCTAACTTGATCATAGATTGTACATGAAATAAGAAAAATAAAGAGATTTGTTTTTTTAATCATTTCGTTTTATCTTTCTTTTTGGTATTAATCCAAATGGATATAATGTTACAAATCAAATTTCACAGAGGCACTATTTTCATTTTAGCCTAATCATACGAAGATAATATGTAATTTACTTCTTATGATTTTATAATGTCTAGCTCGTTATGCTTGAGAGTACAGACATATCAATAATAATGATAGAATATGTAATGTCCTTTTTAATAAACCACCTAAAATGTTGAAGAAGTTAGACACTCAAGTGGACAAAGATTACGTGATCAATCGAACACGGTGTTTTCAAATTACATTACCTTCACACCATTATTTCTGAAACCCTCTAATTATTCTCAAGAAGACTGCTACTTTTAATATCGCACATGTCATCTGATTATTGTACAATTAGGCCATGTTTGTTTGGATGGATATGTGCTTGAGATTGGACTAATAGTAAAATAAAATTATTAATCCGATATTTGGTTAAAAAACTAAAGTACAGACTAACAATCCATCCGGATATGGTATCCCACATATGATGGACTATTCAATCCCACATAGAGGTGGGATATAAATTGAGGGACTAAGTCAAAGTCTGGACTAACTTATCAAATGACCATAATAGAGGTATTATGGTCAATATATTGTATGTCTCATGTCCTATCCATTCCAATCTCTTTAAACAAACATCGGATTGGATACTATTTTATTAATCACTCCTTATAATCCTAATTCAATCCAAACATAGGATATGATAAATAATCTAAAGGATTCATAGTCTTAAGACTATTAGTCATGAGAATACTAATCCAACCTAATCCAATCCACCCAAACAAACATAGCCTTAGAGTATTCAATGTACCTCGCAACACAATCTTATTGGTCAATGCATGGGCCATTCACAGAGAGACCCTCAAGCTTGGGATGGCCTTGCAAGCTTTTAACCCGAGAGATTTGAAGGTTGAGAAGTGGATGGACACACATTGTGGCTGTTTGGGATTGAAAGGAGGGCTTGCCTGGGGCTTGGAATGGCCCAACATGGTGGGTTGGGCTTGGCCTCATTGATTCCATGCTTGAGTGGGAGAGGATGAGTGAGAAGATAATTCATCTTAGAATTATCATAGAGAAGGAAAAAGACTAACCATGTTTAAACGTGAGCAATTAAATGTCATGGTAAAGCACGCGATATCATGAACAAGATTTTTTCTGAAGCTCCAAACGATGGCTGACCAATTTTGTGAAATATTTTTATAAGTTCTCAATTGATTTAGCACCTTAA